GTGGGGTTTCTAGTGACCGATGAAGCTGAGTGGGTGAACGGGCAGGTGATTCGGGTCAACGGTGGTGAGATCTAGAGTGCCTCGTATGTGCTCAAGAGACAAGGGGGAAATAAATTTTAAAAAAACAAAAAAAGCGGAGCATATTTGTTAAATAATAGTCTGGTGCTCAAGGGTTGAACTTATTTTCTCAGTAACATACAAATACCCTTTTAATCTCTTGTCACAAGTTTCATATCTTCCCCTTCGAGCTTACTGCATTGCCAGTAACTCCTCGCATACGCATGCGATGCGTTACAGAGGGATTATGCGTTGAAGACAACCCCTGTTATATTATAGGTATTGAAGATACAACCTCAATGCTAATAAAAGAGTAGCGGTAGTAAATGCCTAAACCCTTAAAAGAGTACAGCAGCCAGCGTATCTACAAGTTCACCCATTTTAAAATGAAGCAGTAGACCATCGTTCCCCATAACAGCTCTAGACGATGATCAAGTAGTAACATATTATCCGAAGCAAGAGGCGAGCAAAGTAGCTGGTGGCGCTGGATAAAAGAGAAGCAGTGCAAGCGGAAATTGGGTACTATTTCTGTATTAATTTAGGCCTCCAACATATAGCCAAAAATCAACAATAATCTTTGAGCGCATTTCAACATGTCGTGCATAGAAATTTTGGAGCAGGCTCAAAAACTATATAGATGGTACAGGTAAATGAAAATATTTATACAGAAAGGATTTGGATTCATTTTGTAGGCCGAGTCCAGGTCGTCTCAGACGTGATGCTGTTTCCGTAGTACACCTCTTTAAAGGAATCATCCCAATAAGCCTGAAAGATAGGAACTTCAGATGATGAGACAAAGTGAAACATTGAATTCCAAATTAAGAGAGGAAGGAAGAGAAATAGAAAAGAGTCAGCTTGCTGCAAAAGCATGCTCTAATTCTGATTGTAAAAGCATGCTCTATCATTATGAAAGAATGTAGACCAGAGGCGAAAAACGAAACTTAACACCCTCGAGTTCTTGACTAACGTCCTAACAATAATAATCTCAACTTTGCCTGTGTAATCCTTCTCTCAGCCAAAAAAACTACTTTCAGAGAAAAGTTAATGCTTTGTAGGAGTTAGCGTGGCACCCCAAACAAAAAATTGAATTTTAATCCTAAGATTTACAATCCAATCGAAAATGGTTCAAGTCGTAAGTCTTCCCCCTCTCCTCTCTTTTCCATCAAAAAAGCTAGACAGAGGAAGACCCCAAATGTCATATGGCGGTGTCCACTTTCCATTCATGTCACTGTATTTCCCAACTACAAAGAGGAAAGACCGCAAAAAAGAAAAAGAAGAAGAAGAGGTGCAACAAGATCATACAACAAAAGATAATGAAAAGAGCATTATGAAGCAAACCTGCCACCCAGAAGGAAGATCTTTTGAGAGTTCCACTAGATCAGGTTGCTGTTTCTCATTGTCAACCACCTCTGGTGGTGTTTGAACTGCTTCACTTCTCGTTGCTGCCTTCTTGCGCTTCAACTTTTCGCGCCTGTAAACAAGAAAGAAATGTCGAGACAGAAGCTTAAAATATAGAACAAATATACAAGTGGTACCTTCCGATAACATGGACTATGCGCGACAAAAAAAGACAGACAACTTGCAGCATATGATCAAATTATCATCATTTCAGATGTAATCTGGCAGCATTGCTGGATTAAAGAAATGTTTTATTTACTGAACTCCTTGTATTGTTAAAGGCTTCAAGTTTATATTTGAACGGGATGATAAACAGCGAAGAAGGGCTTAAACAGTTTGGAGCATCTGCTGATATAATTTTATACGGCAGTCATATGCATATTGATCTTATCAATCATTATGCACGTTGCACATCATGGTGACGGAGATAGCCTGGCCAAGCAAGACTTAAAGCTGTATAACGGTTGTTGCCTACCAAAGCAAAACCTCTATCCTCTATTTATCTTGTTCCGATGAAGTGTTTTCTTCATCTGGCTCTACATAGCGTTTATTGGTTGGTTCTCAGTTTTTACCGAAGTGACAAGACTCCCAAACAACCTTTCTTAAACTTAGTAAAAGCACCTTCTTTTGAGAAATCCGTTATATTGGCATGTATTTGGCCATGTTTTGACTTATATTAGTCATGTTTCAGTTTGTGGGCATTCGCTGTAGCCAGTTGTAACCACCGTAAGCCAGCTCCAGCTATGTTTCAGCCTACACAAACCAAACTTTCCCTAAAGTTCATATGCAAATTACAAACTCATGGAAAGAGGAGATTTGCTAACTGATAATCTCTTCAAACAAAAAACAAAAATAAAATATCAAATTATATCCATATATATTTTACAAACATAGAGATACAATTACAAATACGACAACATATGTATGCCCAATATATGTACCTAAGCAGCATGCATTAATCACCAGAACCAAAAGATAGACGCATTTATATGTGTGTATTTGTCAACAAAGTCAGACCAAAACCACGCTTTGAAATGAAACCCTGTGAAACTACCAAATTTATTGAAAGTTTTCGTATTAGAAATGTTAATACCAAAACTGGAATCAACTTCAGACATTGCTTACACCCGTAAACATTCATTAATTGCTAGAGGCCATTAGGTGAAGCTTACCGCCAAAAGCAGAAAAAAACACCTGGCTTAAGAAGACATACCAGTCACCACCTAGAGGAAGAAAGTTAGCATTATCTTGAGCTTCCCCACTGGCAATTTGTTGTGCTCGCCATTTCTAAATGAAGAAACAGTTAGTTACAAGCTAAACAATGAGCTGAATGTGATGTAATAGAAGATGATGTATGTAATCCTACCTCAATTTCCTTCTGACGCTTCTTCTCTAAAACCTCATATGCATTTTCAGGTTCTTCATCCTCTTCGCTATGCAATTCCTCTTTTGCGGCCTTCCACTGTATTAATAAACAGAAATCAAACAAAGTAAAAAAGCCTTGTACTCAAGGAGGAAACATGACATGATTCAAGCAAATATGGACACGGTAGCACAATGTGACATGAATATAAGTACTGAATAAAGAAGCTTCCTATAAATTCAGACTAGATCTTATCATGTGCTATAAAATTGCCAATTACTGAGTTTGTTTTGAAATATTAGGATCCCTAAGAAATATAGGTTCTCACAACGGCTTGGTGATGATGTTCCATGAAGCGGTAACTTCTTAAATGTTAGGACCAAAAAGAAACAACGTCCACTGTGGGGTTAATATATAATTTTTTAAGACCAGCAAAATACCAGCAGGCATGTGGCTTTGGTATTATAATAGTTTTATATAAGAAGGTCGTGTGCACTATGCATAGAGGAAGCAAAAGAGCTAACTTAATGAGTGTTGCTTCTGTAGAACCCATAGTGTTGTGTGAAGACAAATGTATGTGGGCTTGGCAAGCAATACTACAAGGTCTATGCTCAGGATCACGCATACCTTGTCAACCAAACTAGAAACCTTCTTATTAGACCTCAAGCTTGGAGCAACTGCAACTGTGTGCTTCTTCCTTCTAACTGCCAAAAGTAAAACAGTAATACAGTTTACTAACGAGAATACACTCAAAAGAACATCAGAATCAATGAAACATGTCTATTTATAATCCTCATGTAATAATAGTCACCCTTTGTTTGGTTTTTGGACGAGGCAACAGGGAGTGTATCTGCAGCACTCCCATTGACCAAAGTACTTCCTACAGGTTGAGCACTGGATGCAACAAATGCCGCCTGTACCTGAGACTTGGCAATAATTGAAGGTGCTCCAAGCTCACTATTCCCCTTAGGTAAATTGCTTCCAGTATCTGTGGTGAACCCAGCAGATGCAGTATGATCTGATACTGGAGCAGTAGCATAAGTGAAGGGACCAGATTCTATGTGGTACCCAGAGGATCCTATGCTAGTGCCAACTGGTGCAGAAGGAATGGTTCCACTTGAAACATCATAGTACGCTACAGGTTTAACTTGATTCACATCAACAACCACTTCATGTGAAGCACTAGTAACTACAGGCTCATAGTAAGATGACGACTGTAATCCAGCAATATGGCTATGTTCAGCCTCAGCATAATAATTACCACCAGTGACTTCTGCTGCAACATCTGCTGTGGAGGGATAATACCCATACACTGGAGCAGCGTATCCAACATTATATTGATCAGGATATGGAGGGCACAGCACAGTATCAGGATAAGGTGGAGGAACCGATGGAAGTGATGGTTCTTCAGGGGGAGGTGGAGGAGCTGGTTCATTGTCAGGAGGTGGGGGAGGAATCCATTCCTCATCTGGTGGAGGAGGGACACTGGGCTCATTTGAAGGCAGTGGAGGAAATTCTGGGAGCGGTTGGTTTCCTTCTGATGGCATAGGACATTCAGTACTATGCAGATCCACAGAAGCTGTTTGGCCTGAAGGTGGCTCTTCATCAACTTCCATCTCCACATCCATATCAATGTCATCATCAGCATGTAATCCTTCAGTTACCAAATTGACAGAGGCAGAATTTGGATTAGAATCCCGGATGCTTTCTTGCTCTTGCTCGCCCTTCAAATGGTGAGAAGCAGAAGAAAATCCATCAGTTGCAACAGTTTTGTACTCAAGTGGTTGACTAGTGGGTTCAGTCTGTAACTTCAATGTACCAAAACTAGGGGAGTGGCAGGAGCTTTTTGCAGTAACTGATATATCTTTTTCATTTTCCATTTCAGGTTCCAGTTCCACATTTTGGGAGGGGCCTTCATCTTTTAACAAAGAATTCTGTGTATCTTCCAAGTTGCCATCACGTTCATCAGTAAGAACAACGAAGGAAGCTTCACCTTTGCTAATAGTAGTTTCAAGTTGCTTTAGCTGTTCTTCAGTATGCCACCAGAAAGGAAGAAGAGAAGAACCATACGATGAAAGTGCTCGGCAATCAGAAAGTCTAATCTGTATCTCCTTTGTGATCCATTCATGACTTTCAAGGTGATTCCCACACCTAGTATGGTTATTGTTATTTTACAGAATGAGAAATGAAAAAGACATATTTAAAGCAAGGATAACTGTAACAAGGGAAACTACAAGAAAACAACACTGAGAAAAGGAAGATTGCATACGGTAAAAATCTTGCTTGTAATATTAAGCTTTGAACACCACAGTTAATTTATAACCTCAATTCTACAACCTAAGGTTTTATGCTGCACAAAAGAAATGCATGGCTTTCCCATAATAGGATAGAAGCAGACAAGCTTTCAAAAATATCAGATGAGCATCTAACAAAGACTCTTGATAAACAGAAGATGTGTTTTTAGAGAGAAACTATTAGCTATACAGCAGGCATTTTGAGAAAGCAACAAAAACGTGTTTCAGATTTTCAACAACAGAAAAAACTACCCACCAATACAACAGTTGTTTTCTTGTTTAACATGATACAACAGTTGTTTTCTTATTTGACATGTCTCGTTACTTTCTAAGATTAGCTTTTAAAGCAGTCAAGACTAAACCCTGACTACACTGGGGGATTTTGCTATGCTGAGGGGCTCATGAAAGAATAAATGTAGTAGTTACAAGGTTTTAAATGGCATCTATGCTATCAATAAGTAAACCAACCAAAAAAAAAGCATATTTCAAAACCAAATAATGTTTAATGCCTGGACTCAGATTTTTAAAACAACTGGCAAAAAATCAAAAAGTAGGGGTACCTATCAAGTGCTTCCAGTCTTTGTAACAAGCTTTCACAACATTTAACCACACGAGAAGAATGAACGTCCACTGGTCCACAATTTCCGTTAGGTTCAATGTAATGCTTATCTTTATGGCCATCATTTAATACATGACCTTCAGTCATTGGAACTCCCCCACTGACAGCATTAATTTGCGCTAAGGAGCCAAAATCAGAAAGTGCAGCTGGAATGAAATATGATATGCGAGCTGTAGAATTATTATGATGAACTAGGGTTTGGTTGGCTCCGAAACCAACATGTCCAACCTCTCCATTTTCATTTTTACTCTCCAAAATACTGCTACCATCTCCTATATCTTTAGAGATCAGGTGACCAACCCCCATAGCACCTAGATCACCAGTCGCATACGCATAGGTTGCAGATTCAGTTAGATGAGGATCTAACTGTGAACCATCTCCTTCCGCACCAGAAATGGTTTGTTCTGCCAAAACAGGAGGTACTTCCCATGAAGTCTCTCCGGTCACAGTATTCCAGTAATAATATTGATTGCTTTCCTCGTGCACAACCATTTTCCAACCTCCAGCCAAATCACCATTGACTTGAATGCCAGAAGGTTCGGTTATATTGTCGTGTTTCACAGGATCAGTTTCATTGGCTTCAGCAGTTGCATAGCTAGAGTCATTTTCTTTCCCCTCCGTGCCCGCCAGATTCTCAGCAGTATCAACTTGTCCTGATTGTTGTTTATCGCTAGTATCATCCTTCTCAGTAACTCCTAAATTTTCAGTAAGCTCCTGCATGTAATATACATCTATGTAAATTAAGAAATTCCTAGACAGAAATTTTGCAGAGAAAAAGTAGAAAAACTAAAGACACAACAATAAAGACCCATGCATGTCAAGTAAAAGTCAACAGTACCAGTTTGAAAATTAATACTATAAAAGCAATCATTACAGTTATTCTAGACATGTCCTTTAAATGATTTATAATTAACCTAGTTGAGTAGAATATCCACAACTCTAAGACGCAGAACATAAAGAAAGATAACTCAATTCCTGTGCATTGGCATAAGTACACTTTGGTTTTGAAACTGCTACTACTATCATAACTACTTATCAACCCAGTAAAATTAAGAAACAATAACTACCAAATCAAGAAGATGGAGTGACACTTATAATTTTGAAAGTTTCCAACTGCCAATAGGATTAAAAAAAATACAAGGACAGGGAGCAAACAATTATAACTTTGAAGAATTTGTTCAATTTTAGCATTCGAAGAAAAAAATCTAAAGGGAACAAATTGTAATACAATTAACACACAAAACAAATCTTCCAAGTTAAACAATCGTTTCATTAATATTGCAGTAGATGCACAGCTGATTATTCAACCAAATACAACAGTATATGAATCTGTAATTTTGCACAAGTAGACTAAATTTATAATTCAACATTTCGTACAATTACGACCCAATACGATGAGTGGAACAGAAGATGCATCTGATACATACAACAACATAAGCATGATGCCATGACACTGAAAACACAGCCAAACGGACAAACATCCACATTGTAAAGCAAGCAAAACAAGAGAGAAAATTTAAACTGATGATCACCTTCTCATCCAGGCCATCTGATGAACTCCCATCACCATCAACTTTCGGCCGCTTGCTAGTCCCCCCATCCACTTCATCATCACTATATTGACCCAGTAGTAGTAGTGGATTTTCCTGTGTCTGGCCTGAAAACACAAAAGAGAAAACAGTTAGATGCATAGTAAGCAGATAGGGATCTCCTACGGAAGGGGAAGAAATTAGTTTGTTAAAGTCAATTAAAATAATTTATGCAGGAACTATCAGAAATAAAGCAGATATCGGCTTTTTAAAAGCCCAATAGCTCCATCAAGTGTTAATGATGATTAGTCACCTGAAAGTCATTAAAAAATGTCAGGACGAACAAACCAAAGATAAAAAAGCTAGAGACATACGAACCGAGAAGGCAAAATTTTCCTCCTGAAAACTCCCGAACGCTTAGAAGCTGCCAAAAAGGTCATAATGTAGGAGGAGGTTATTTCAATTTTCAAGGTGGCAGCCAGATCTGAAACGACTATGAATGTTCTTCAGACCACAAGCCACCCTACAGTCTCAAAACAGAATTCTTGGTGCATGCAACAAATCTTGCAGTATATCCTTATTTCCACCAAAAATATGTTGTGCAGGCTTATCTTCTCTATATAGTCCTTTGAAGAGAAATTCATGAGACCCACCTGAAGACGATGGTGAAGTAGGGACCACATCACGATGATCCTGGTCAATATCCCCTCCAACTTCATCATGTGCAGTAGCATCCACTATATCTCCTAAAATTGGTACAACAACATAATGTCATGATACGGAGTATGAAAGCAGGAAGCTACTGAAATTTGATAATACCATAAAACTGTAATGAGAAAAAAAGATCTTAAATTTAATTAATATTTAATTTAGGTAAGGAGATGCATAGGAAAATCTACTATTCCGATCAACTCTTCATTTCAATCTCCATTGGAATCGAAGAACCAACGAATAACACCAAGAGCGAAATAACAAAACCAAATGCAACAACTTGCACAATATGCCTGTAAATTCTCCATCGTTAATAGCCTTTACAGATTGAAGTTTAGACATTTAACCTTGCAGTTCTATTGTATAAACTATGACAAACGCAAATACTACCTCCGTCAACATTATATCCCAAAACCCCTCGAATAGTCAGAAAACAAATCAAGTTAACATTTTTGAAGGCATATCAAGTTAGCATCTTTGAGTACAGCAGTTTTGTCCCCTCGAAAACCTCTAGCTCAAAGAATACAGTAAACCCTTGCTGTTATATTATAATCTTATACAATCTTAGACATTTACCCTTGCGGTTCTATTTTATAAACTAAGACAAACTCAAATACCTTATGTTCACCAAGAAATGACCCGAAATGGGTCGTCGGTCTATTTGACTACCTCTGTCAACGTTACATCCCAAAACCCCTCCCCTCGAATTGTCAGAAAACAAATCAAGTTGGCATCTTTGAGTAACAGCGGTTCTGTCTCATAGAAAACCTCTAGCTCAAAGAAAGCAACAATAGATCAAAAACCCTAGATTGGCACGGTGAGGGGGGCACATACCCGAGGGTTCATCGAAAAGGTCGAGCTTTACTCGCCGGCCGGACGCCATCTTGGCCGCAAGACGGCGCTCCTTGCGTTTCCCCATTCGATTATATTGAGATCTAGGGTCTCAATGTTTAGATGAGATCGGGTCCAATTTAGGGTTTTTCTTAAATCTGGGCGAGAAAGTGAAGGAAAGGGTGAGAATCGCGGGGAGGGCTGGAAGGAAGGGAGAGATTTTGCCCTAGAGAAAATGGACGAGATTTTGAGAGCGAGGCGGCTTATAGTATAATCTCGTCCATTTGCACGTGCATCGCATGTGTTACGGTTCGAGTGGGACCCGGAGATCTTCGGGCTATTTACATATATACCCCTTAAATCACTTGCACTTGCAAGAATTCCCCCAACATCTCAGTATTTGCAAAACTATACCTCATATTATCAATTTTGTGGAACAATACCCCTGAAATTAAAAAATCATCATCTTGATTCTAAAAATTTAAATATTTTGTTGATAATGTTAACATTATGACCACATATTAGCTTATCAAAGTTGATAATTAATTGCTTTGAGGAATTTTTTTTTAAAGGATGATATGAAGGGTGATTTTGCAAATACTAGATTTAGAGGATATTTTGTAAGAACGCATAATATAAGGGATATATATGCAAATGACACGATTAGTTATTGGTTAACAAAATCACACTGATGCATCGGTGATATAGAACGAGCATATATATGGATATAAACTTGCTTCAAACAAGGATCGAATCTGATCAACCTACATAGGCTGCATTCACATTTCATGATAGCATTTACTCCTATTCTCGATGTATGGATGATCAAGGTTGATTTTGTTGTGGATCCGGCACAAGATAAGGCCCACATGAGATCCACATCAATTAAAAATTTTATTTAGAAGAAGATTTGGAGGATCTAGTTGTAATAGGAATAGATTTGGAGGACCTAAAAATAAAAATTCTTTTATAAAAGAATTATATTCATGAGAAACCGAGATTTTTTCCCCTGGTGCTATAGTAAACCATGAACAGTAATCCGAGAGAGAAAAGGTGGGGAGAGAGAGAGAAAGAGAAAAGGTGAGATTCTGTATAGCTCAGTTGTCAGGTTGAAGTGATTCAAAAGTTGTTGTCTTCAGAATGATGACGTCATCAAGAGTACAGTGTTGGTTTCTCCGCGGGTGTTGGAGATTTTTAGTGAAATAGGTTTTAAGGTTTTGGTGCCCTAGACTGAATCTTTCTCTTATGATTTAATCCTCAAGGTCAGGTGTAACTTGAAAGGATTGTACTTTTGATTCATAGTGAAATATTTCTCTCTGGATTGCCTCGTGGACCTAGGCATGATTTGCCGAACTACATTAAATCTTGGTGTTTGCTTGCTTGTGGTATTTTCATTGGTGTCGCTATTCGTTTAGTGTTTAATTTCGTAGATTAATCTCCATAAAATCTCTAACAAGTGGTGTCAGAGCATTGGTTCGATGCGTGCTTTGGGATGAAAAAGATGGAGAGTTTTAGCACAATGATAAAATTGGATGGTTCCAATTGGCAGGTATGGAAGTCCAAGATGAAAGATATTCTGTATTATAAAGATTTATATGACCCTATTGAGGAAGATGAAGCCAAGCCAGAAAAGATGATTGATAAAGAATGAGAGAAACAACATTGGAAGGTGATCGGTTATATTCGGATGTGGATCGACGTTTGTGTGTTTCATCATGTATCGGGTGAGACTAATATGAAGCCTCTTTGGAAGAAGCTTGAGAATCTCTATGAGCAGAAAACCGCAGGAGACAATGCGTTTATTATGAGGTGGTTGGTGAACTTGAAATTTAAATAAGGAAGCAACATAGCAGCGCACTTGAATGAGTTTAAGAGTTTGATAATCAATTAGCTACCATGAAGATGACTATCGATGATGAGCTACAGACTTTGTTGCTATTGGGTTCTTTGCCAGATAGTTGGGAGACAATGGATGTGATAGTCAGCAATGCAACTCCAGATGGTGTGTTATCAATGAGTATGGTTATTAGTAGTTTATTCAATGAGGAAACTCGGAGGAAGTCTAACAGAGCAGATAACTCACAGGCACTTGTCACGAAGAACAGTGGTAGGAGCAGGTACATGGACCAGTACAGAGGTTGTGGCACATCTAAGGGGAAATCAAAGTGTAAAGGGAGAGTTTGTTTTTATTGTGGAAGTCAGGTCATATCAAGAAGAATTGTTGGGCATTGAAGAAAGAGAAAGTTTGGAACAAAGATGTAAAGAAAGATGAGAAGAAGAAAGCTGACAGTGATACTACATGTACTTTTGTCTGATACTGATGTTATTCTCATTTGCAGGGAAGAAGATTGTATGCATGTTACAAGTCAGAATTTTGAGTGGATAGTGGATACAGGAGCTACATATCATGCTACCTCTAATCAAGACATTTTCACGTCGTATAAAGCCGGTGACTTTGGCAATGTGAAGATGGACAGTACCAACTACTCGAATATTATAGGACTTGGTGATATATACTTGCAGATAGATATCGGATGCACATTGATCTTAAAGAATATGCGACATATTCTCAATTTGCAGCTCAACTTGATTACGACTCTTACTTTGGACCGAATGGGATATGGAATTTAATTTGGTGGAGGAAAATGTAAAATCACCAAAGGCTCTCTCGTAGTTGCTAGAGAAAATATATGTTGCAAGTTATATAAGACTCAAGTAAATATTTCATATGATTCTTTGAGTGTGGCTCAAGACAGTGACACTCTCAGTTTGTGGCATAGGAGGCTCGAACATATGAGCGAGAAGGGGTTGCAGATATTGGCAAAGAAATCTCTCATTCCCTTTGCCAAAGATTCGTCACTTACCCTTTGTGATTATTGTTTGTTTGTCAAACAACATAGAGTTTCTTTAGTAAGCCTTCTAAAATAAAAGATAATATCATGAATTTAATTTATTCTGATATTTGTGGTCCTATTAAGGTGGAGTCCTTGGGTGGTAATAAGTATTTTATCACATATTGATGATGCATCGCGGAGGATGTGGGTCTTCTTATTGAGGACAAAGGACCAAATATTTTAGCCTTCCAGCAGTTTCATACCATGGTAGAGAGGCAGTCAGGAAAGATATTGAAGTGTTTGTGTACCGATAATAGAGAAGAGTACACTTCTATTGAGTTTAGAGATATTGCTCCAAGCATGGTATTCGGCATCAGACGACAGAGGCCGGCACATCGCAACATAATAGAGTTGCGGAGGGATACAACATGACCATTGTGGAGAAAGTTGTTGGTTTTTTTGTTTTGATGATATTTTAACAAACAATTTACCACTAATATTATTTATCTAGTGTTTGTATTTTCCTATTTATTGTAGACAAACAATATATTAGAGGTTGGATGGAATCGAACATTCACGATCATATCCGTTGGAGGTTAGCAGAATAGTGGAATGAAGCATATGCATACTAGTCAAGATCCAAGTTTAAGCTTCATCCATGTTTACCAAGACGAACTACAATGAAGATCAATCAAGCTTGGGTAAATTAGTTTAGGTTTTATATTATGTGTGTTAATACTTTAAGCTCAATTATATACACACATACACGTTTTGATTTCATAGCTTTCAAGTTTAAATATGAAACAATTACACTTATCTATATACATACATACATGTTTCATATTTATCATTTTTGGTTTATTCATTTTGTAACTTATCCATATAGAAAATAAGTTTTTGTAAACCATAGATTTATTCACATATTTATTTATGGATAAGTTGTTTTTGGTATAGCTATATAGATATGAAACAATATATATCTTCATATATACATTTATGTGTTTCATATTCTATTGAATTTGTAAAATTATATGTTTATGGAATGAATACTTGTTTACATTATTTTCATATCTTCTATAAGTCTATAAACCCATTCAAAATGTTTCAGGAATTTCTTTAAGTCATTTTGTCAAAATCATATGTTTTCGAGATTTCGTATTTTAAGCGATTTTGCATAATGATGAGATTTCACAAATGAGAAGTGCTTTTTAAAAACCAGTTTTTGTAACATGTTTATTTTCATATTTACAAGCATTCCCCAAAGTTTTGCATTTTTGGATTTTATTTGCTATTTTTAGACGTGTTTAAAATCAGATTTTCAGCAAACATGTGCATATCTGATATATCGGTTTGCGGTCGACCTCCATGGTCGACGCGGTCTACCGCGAAATATCCAGAGAGCAATCTCTGGATTTCAGTTGTTCGCGGTCGACCGGACCTAGCACTGCGGTCGACCGCCAGTATGACTGTTGCACAGTAACAGGTAGTTTTCAGTTTTGTTTTTGTGTGGTTTTTTGGTCATTTCTTTGGGTTTTTGCTATTGTGTTAGGTTGGTATATATACCCCTCAGCATTAAACTCTCCCACTAACCAAGAGAATATTTTAAACAAGTTTTTAAGAGAGTTTAAGTGTTTGTTTAGTTTGTTTAAAAGTGTTTAAGAGTTTGTTTGTGAAGAGAATTTCACAAGAACTTGAGGAGATCATCCATTGGTGTTTGACCATTCAACTCATCTCCCTCTCTCTCTCTCTCTCTCTCTCTCTCTCTCTCTCTCTCTCTTGTCATTCATTAGAGAAGTTTTCTAAACTCTTTTCTAGCTATTTATTTGTTTTGATTATAATTTCCATTAGCTAGAGTTACATTGAGTTTAGTTTTGATTTATCTCTTTGCTTACACACACAACCATTGAGCTTGTTGTATTTGCATACATTGTATAATTAGGTTGTAGGATTGTATGACTTAGAGAGTGAGCTTACAATTCGTTCTCATCCATTATAGAGAACAAACACTTTGTATTGAGCCTAATTGTGAGGATTCACTTTGTATTGCACAAATACACTAAGAGAAGTATAGAGGTAAGAGACGTGGTCGGTCCCAAGAGGAGTGTGGTCGGTGGTAATGCCTAGAGGTAGGTCGTAATTTCGAGCACTTAAGGGAGACACATGAGAGGTCAACACTTGAGGTAGGATTTGTGTAGTTATATTATGAGTGATTGTGAACGTTGATCAGTGAGCGTTGAAAACCAATATTGTGTGGTGTAAACGTTTTCGGGTGAGCGTTGAAAATCTGGTGTGATAGTGGATTTCTCATTGGGAGTGGGGAGAGGAGACGCAAGACGGAGGGTCCAAACTCTGTGATCATATTGCTTGTTTGAGTTTGCATTGAC